GTGGTTGCATTGACTACATACAATTAGTCAGGTTCTGGAACACAGACATGCTTATCGGCGTCCAACAATGATAGCTTTCGACTTAAAAGCAGCACTTGATTCTGTAGACCGAGAGGTTCCATGACAGTGTCTGTCATTGAAAGGTGTACCTCAGAATTACATAAACATTGTGAAGGCTCTTTACTCGAACACTACTAGTCGAGTCAGAGCTTATGACGTTATATGATTTCCCAACCTCAAGTGGTGTCCGGGAAGACTATTCACTATTTCCATTCTTGTTCAATTTCATCATAGACCTACTGCTCGAAATAACATTCTCGTCCCCTAACTCTTCAGGAACTGATCTCCTTCCGGGAGGTTCACTTATAGAATTAGAATATGCAAATGATATAGTCCTGACTGGCGAAGACGCTGATAAAATGCAGAGTCTTTTAATAGCACTGAGCAACAATGCCAGGATGTTTCGGATGCATTTCTCTTCTTCTAAATGCAAGTTGTTGCTTCTGGACTGGTTTGAGTCAACACCCGAACTAAGGTTAGGGAGTAAAGTAGTCGAAAGCATCGACAAATTCACTTGTTATGGAAGTCTGATCAGCCCTAATGGGTTGGTGTCTGACGAAATCCCAGCACGGATTCGAAAAGCTCGTTTGGCTTTTGCCAACTTACGTCATCTATGCAGAAAGCGAGATATCCGTCTATCAATAAAAGAATGATTATACTGCGCGGTAGTTCGTTCCCTTCTACTTTACGGTTGCGAAACGTGACCATTAAGAGTAGAAGATACTCGTAAGCTACTAGTAATTGACCACAAATGTCTTAGAAATATTGCTCGCATCTGCTAGGATCACCAGATAAGTAATAGTGAGGTTGTGAATCTTCATCGACTGAGATGGTTGGGCCACGTGTTACATATGCCTGAACATCGATTACCACAACGCGCAATGCTGACTAGTGTTGGGGATCATTGGAAGAAAGTTAGGGGCGGCCAAACCAAGACTTGGCATCAGTGCTTGAAGTCACTAACTTCTGGTCTGAGACATGATGGTAGATGCAGACTACCTGGTTGGGGTCCACATGACTATCGTAACCTATGGTTGGAGACTCTGTGTGAAATGGCTTAGAATCGATCACAATGGCGTGGGTTTATACGCTGTTTGTCTGCCCTTCAACCGTGAGATTAAAATTACTTTATGTCTTTTTTTCTCTCAACTAACTCTTTCTCTCTGTTTTATACCCTGCTGAGCACAGTCTTAGCTTAGCCGAATTCAGAACAAGTAAGATTTTTAGCTTGATAAACTTTTTCTGCTTCTAAAATGTAAATTAACACTATTTGTATACAGAATGAACAATAAATACAGTCTAGTAAACAGGGGCGTTAGCAGTTCATCAATTCAAGCTTGAACACTGCATACAAAAGCATTACGTGCAATCTCTCATCCTTCCGTGGCACTAACATCCTTTTCTAGTATGTTTTGGTTTCATTTGGTTTTTATTGTTACTTTGTCCTTTCTTCAAACTGTGATCAGTTATTATTACCCTCTAACAATTTTTTTCCAAGATGATTATTCAAATGTTATTATAACCTATATGTCTTTTGTTTCATCTTCAGTTCTGTCAAGTTGATAATGAGTCTTATTTGAAATGTTATTATTTATACTACCTTACTGTGTAATAATGACAAATCAATACATTTTAAACTTTTATTTCTAACATTTTCAAAGTACTATACGTACTGTTGGTAAATACAATTTAAATTCATATTGATTACGATGGAGCAATTTCGTGAATTAGCTGAAGTTAAACAGTAACACCGTTGGATGTCGGCCGGCTCAGTGGTCCAGTGGTTAAGCACATGCTCATGAGACTGATAGGTCCTGGATTCAAATCCCGCGGGGTGCGGGATCGTGGATACGCACTGCTGAGGAGTCCCATACTAGGACGAAACGGCCATTCAGTGCTTCCAGGTTTTCCATGGTGGTCTAGCATCAATTGACTCATGATTTCAATCTGTGGAATTTCTAAAATCTCCACAAACCCCTTCTGATAAAATCAATACATTATTATGACCTTGTATAGAAATTAATTATACTGCTTTAATATTTTCAACACCGCCCCCAAATGCCCTGGTACGGCCGAGAGTGGGGAGAGTCCGCTCTCCCTCTCCAAATGCTCTCACACGGCCACACGTATATAGCCTCTGCCAGGGAAGTCCTACTCACTGCCTTCTCGTGGCGAGGGTGGTGTTTACGAAAATGAGAGGACGAAAAGCGAATGTCCGGCGTTTTAACTGGATTCAAAACCAATGGTGCGCATGGGCTCCAGTATCCTGCGAGAACAAATGGCGTATGAACCAATTGTTGGTCACCGGCTTCCATAGGACTGCATCTCCTTACGATGCTCCACTGCCTTGTGGATCAGACCTTCAGGTCAAAGGCTCGGGGTGTGGCCCCCTAAGAAAACCACCTGCTTCGGTTTGGGCACCTGGGCAGTATCACAGCCCTCACACATATCGAATGAGATTTGTGTGGCGCATATGTATTTGGTGCCTCTTTGTACCATTATGTATGTGTTGAGATAAGATAAGATTTTCAACACCATTTTTAATTGATCTTCATTATTTGTTCAAATGAACTCTGATGTAAAACAATTTAGTTTTGAGAAATTCCTTATTAGTGGGGTAAACAGTTCAATTTAATCGTACATAAACCAATATATTTGATCTGGATCATAATTAGTCAACATTTGGATCATTTTAATTATTTTTTCCTAGAATGAAAAATTAAACAAATTAATTTTGGTATAAACTAAACTATTGAGAGCATACAATGGAGGAATAGCTTAGAAGGTCAATTAAACAAATAGTACAAGATAATATAATAAAATGTGAATGATTCATTGGAATTACTAATAATTATACTAAAGTTGATGGTAATAATAATCATACTATGGATGTATAAATATCAAATATAATATCTATACACTATACCATTGGATCAGTCGAAATTATTTATTTTAACGCATAGATATTGGTACAAGGAGGCACCAAATACATATGCATCATACAAATCTCATTTGATATGTGTGAGGGCTGTGATACTGCCTGGGTGCTCAAACCAAAGCAGATGGTTTTCTTAAAGAGTCCCACCCAGAGACTTCGACCTAAACGTCTGATCCACAAGGCAGAGCAGCAACGTCAGGAGATGCAGTCCAATGGCAGCCGGTGACCAACGATTGGTTCATACGCCATTTATTCCTTTACGATATTGGAGCCCATGTGCACCACTGGTTTGGAATCAGGGTTTTCCAACTCCCCTAGGTGGACCCTCCATGTCCACCAACCCGGTTAAAGCGCCGGACATTCGCTTTTCGTCCTCTCAGTTTCGTAAAAAACACCCCCGCCACGAGAAGGCAGTGAGTAGGACTTCCCTGGCAGAGGCTATATACGCGTGGTCATGTGAGAGCATTTGGAGAGGGAGAGCGGACTCTCCCCACTCTCGGCCGTACCAGGCCATTTGGGGACTCATTCGAAATTAATTTTCTGATAATGTTTGCACACATAACTTGTATTCAATAATTGTTAATGAGGAAACTAACACGAGTATAGTTCAATGAGAAAAGCATATAAGTATGTGGTGTGTGTGAATGTAAAAGGTTTTGTGATAATGGATAAATTATATAATTTACAGTCTGAACTGACTTTCGTTATATAACCAATGGAAATCAGGAACGATTGGAAAGCTATATATAGTTCTAGTACGAAACTACTTAACGGTGGTCCTCAATGACCTTATTGCAGAAGCGGTGGTGCAGAGACTGGAAGCAGCGATTTTACCGGCGGCCAACCTAAAAGATGTGGATTCGTTATATGGATGACACATTCGTCATCATCAAATGGAACGAGCTACAAAACATCTACACTCTGATCAATAACGTCTTTGATGACATAAAATTCACAACAAACTATCATTCGTGTATGCATTGATCACCAGAGCCGAAACAAAAGAACTGTAGAAGCCAACACATCAGCAGTAATGGAATCAAATACAGTAATCAACAAACGGATCATCCTACCATATATAAATGATATATCAGAAATTACGAGATGATCGAGGTTGTGTGGAATAGGTATAGCACACAAACCAAAAATATCACTTCAATCAACCCTATGCAAGCCAAGGGACGAAATGACCAAGAAAAACCGAACATCATCTACAAAATAAACTGTTCCAATTGCGAAAATCTATGTCAGACAAAGTGGACGCTTCTTTTATCTTCGCCTTCATGAACATCAATTAGCGGTCAAACGCCATGAAATATTTTCACTTATACCAATTCATGTGGACAACTGTGGATACATATTCAACGGGGGAAATGTTGAGATCTTGGATAGTGGGAATGCTAAGAACAGAAGGGAACCTTTAGAAGCTCGGCACTGAGCAACCAACTAACACATCGAAATCGATCCAATCTACCAGTCAATCAGAAAATCCATTGGCAAATATATACCCAAGAATCAGATCAAACGGGATACAATCAAAATAAACAGGTAGACGATGACAAGGTAAAGATTAACAACAATCAATCAAGATCGAGGTCGACAGGACAAACTGAGAGTTATACGGGGAGAAATTCGAATATTTCTCTTCTAACACAAATTTGTGCTGATGATATTGTTCTGAAGAACTCAGTCAGTCAGTCATTAACAACGGTTAACTAAGAAAACAAAACTGAATAAAACCATCCACCTAAGGTATAAGTTTTCTCTACTATGTTAAAAAGGCGATATAGAGTTATTACTTACAAATTATTAATTAAATGAATTCTATTACACCTGACGGGTGTGGAAAACCCAACCAACACAATACTCTTTTCATTTTTTTTAGTCAGAAATCTTTTGCTCTATCATTTGGTCTCATATAATAAAATGAAGAGACATAGTATCGATAACTATTTCATTCTACTATAATTACTTCATTATTGATTGAAAATTAATTAGTTTAGGTGCAAGTTAACTTTATTGTACATACTGAATAGGATTCTATGGAAATTTAACAGCTTATTATTAGCATCTAACATAAATAATATAGTTGTCATGGTCTAGTAGACAAAACTATGAAAGGTGATGAATAACATACTTATCAACTACATACGTATATATCACAATCAAAATAGATTTATCGAAAAATATATACAATTCGGAGAAATTTCTAGAAATTCAATGTGTTGATAGTAGTAGCAGTAGTAGTCAGTAGTGGTGGTGATAGTCATAATGCTAGATTGATACACAATCAAATAAATAAATAAATCATTAAAGAAAAAATAAAAAGACGCAATAATTTTCTTTTCATCTATCTATACATTAGAAAATTTATTCCGATAATCATCTTTTAAACAAAATAACTTCATAGGTTCATAAACTAAAACAACCCAAAATGAATGAAATGTTGTTTGGATAAGACGAGCGGATAAACCTTTGGAAAACCAACGTATTCCTTCAAATTGCCATAAATGAATAACACTTTGTTTGAATGGTATATGTGAAACCTGAGTATTATTTGAAGATGAAAGATAATAATACTATCAATAATAATAATAATAATAATAATAATAATAATAATAATAATAATAATATTGGAAACTTTAAAATTCATCAAACATAATAGTAGATGAACACAAAGATCCATTTAAGAAAAATATTCTTATTAGATATTTCCAACTATACTTTAGTTGTTATGATTATTTAGATAAAAAAAAAGATAGAAGCGCTCCACAAGAACAGTCGAACTGATAAATACAAATTGAGGTGGTCATTCTAGGTAATTCATCTTTTAGCCTCGATGTAACCATTGGGCGCGTAGAAAATACTAATCGCAGTTCTCCGGCGTTAAAGGACTGTTGTATTGTCCTACGTAATCTCTGAGTTAGTATTTCACTGGTCGCATCCCCTCTGAATTGTAGACGCATGAACAGGAATTTCTTCTTCACTGCTTGTATTTCGCCTTCGTGACGATATATTTAATTATAAACGTTCTAGGTTAGCCGTTCTCCTGAGAGTATTATGCAAGGTGTTAAGCTCTTGTAAAATTATATCAGCAGAACATATAGTATGTATACGGTAACTAAGGGTTTTGATCAAGTTTCGTCTGTACTGTAGAGGTACAAAGCTCAGGAGATTCGTATACTGCCCAGTCCATGTACTTTTTCTGTTTAGGTTCCTTTTTAACGAGCCATCCGCTCTCTTAGTCAAGAGAACGTCCAAAAAGGCTATTCGGCCATCACTCTCTTCTTCAGATGTAAACTGAATGGCTGGATGCACTTCATTAATAATTTATATTCTGAAAAATAATAATTACAGAATTCACGCCAGTTTACAGGCATGATCAATTTGATATAAATAGTAACGTTAGACGTGCAGAACAAACATGTGATAAAAGAAAGTTTTAAGTATACTAGGTGCATCCACTCTCTGTGTTCTCCCAAACTCTAATCTTCTGAATTCTTCATGTCCCTTTTTCCCTCTTCCCAAATTTCTTTCACCGGATTATACTCTTTAAATAACATCTCCAAACCCTAATCTTCCCGATTACTGCTTATACTCTTGCTACCTTTACCACTACGGGATTTGAATCGACCACTGCATCTCTGTGCTAATGTGGTGTGGCAACTCGAACTGATGTACGTACGTACGAAGTTCAACGTTGTTACTGACTGACTGACTGAGAGGTCTGTTTTAATATATGTTCTGTAAACGACAAGTCTTGGGAATATCTAAGTCCTTAGTCTACTACTGTATGTAACCTAGATAACACTTCTCCATTTATGGTAATGTCTAGGTTGAGTGATGTATCGCCGAAGCATATCCACCCACATTTAGCCGTATTAAGCTGCAGTTGCCATTTTAAGCACCATTGTACTACCTTGTTAAGCTCCATGCTGATGCAATTTTGCATATTTTTCAGGTCACGTGGAGAAAATGAATATACTACTTTAAGATCATCTGCGTATAGAAGGGGCTTACCGACACAAAAACTTTCACAAATATCCTTGATAAACACTAAAAAGATCAAAGGACCTAAGACACTACCTTGTATTACACCACTTCTAACAGGGACAGCGTTAGACAATGAAGAGTTAATTTTAACTATTTGATGTCGATTGCTGAGAAAGGAATCAACCCAAGCAAGCAAAGGATTTTGAACCCCATAAGGTGCGAGCTTACCTATAAGAAGTTGGTGGCTAATCATCTCAAAGGCTTTAGAAATGTCCAGATATAGCACTAAGACTAGATATCCTTGGCTACGTATAGAATAGACTAAATTAAAGAAGTCAAAATGACATGTCATGCAAGAACGATTTTTAAGAAATCCATGTTGAGTATCATTGATAAATTTTCCAGCAAGTAAATAGTTGGAAAGTTCATCACTTATAATTTTTTCCATAATCCTAGAAATAACTGGAGTAATATTTATTGGCCGGTAATTGTTCATGTCAGTCTTATCTCCAGATTTGTAACGTGGTAAGATGCACGCGGTTTTCCAACAGTAAGGGTAAGAACCGGTTTCCATAGAGAGAGTAAACAGCTTCAGAAGAAGAAGTGGAATATCTGGCCCACCATATATGTAGAGAAATGATGAAATCCCGTCTACTCCATGACCTTTCGAAAGCTTAAGGGTATTTATAGCCTTATTAATTTTCATGCATGTGAAGGAGATAGATTTTATTGGGTTGCTAGTCACGCACATAACTCTTGAAGCATAGCCACTTATGTTTTCTACACCATTCGCGAATATACTACTGAAAAGGTCGGCCATGGTTTTAGAGTCTTATATAAAAGTGCTATTATGCTGGATGCACGGTATATCAACATTTCGAGTTGCTTTAGTGCGTTTATTGAAAAGGAGAGTTAAGTTTTGTACTTTCGAGTTAGTATTAAGGGCTAACAGCTCCTTATTAATAGCTTTTAACCTATGTTTCTCTTTAATTTGATTAAAAATTATTGTTATTTGTGCAACTGCTGTGAAGTCGTTTGACTTAAAATAACGATTCTGTAGGCGTTTTAGTTTATTACGATACTTAGCTGGTATATATAATTCGTAAGGTTTACTAAACCTGTACGTTTTAATAAGTACACTGGAATCTAAACAAGAGTTAATGATCACATAGAATTCGTCGATAGCATCCATGAGACAATTACATGAAAAAACGTTATCCCAGTCTGAAAGTTTAATCAATGAATGCAGGAGGTCACAGTCAGCATGCTTATAGTCTCTATAGTGACAGGTTTTTTGAATGGGTGGGTTATAAGAGAGATAGATAGGGAGAGCGCAAACTACTATCTTATGGTCACTGCTTTCAAATTCATCATATACTTTTACAGATAGTGGGGTAACATCTCAACTAAATATTAGATCAAGTATACTATCGCCTCTAGTTGGGGGTACGAACCCACTGTGACCAGCAGTGCATGTTAATGGTTGCCGAGAACTCATCATTACATGACTGACAACTACCGGTACTCCAGTTGATCCCAGGATAATTGAAATCCCCGGTGATAACCTTAGCATTAAAGTTTAGAGAAGATGCATGTATGAATGCATTGATAATAAGATCATTCCCATTATTCGAACTATCAGGAGCTCTGTATATACATCCAAGGAGTAGACTATGATTCAGGGTGTTGACTGATATCCAGACTGATTCTGGTAAACTATTCAGGACAATATCTTCAACATTATTAGTTGTTGGGGTATCCAAAGCATATATAATGCGACCACCTCCTCGCCTAGTTTCTCTGTCGCAGCGATAGATTCGATAGTTCTGGATATTTAATTCTGAATTAGATAATGCTTGAGAGCACCATGTTTCAGTGATAATTATGAAAGAAGGTTTGGCTAGAAAAGCTAATGTTCTCAAGGCTGAAATTTTGTTCAGAAGTGAACGTGCATTGATAAGTAATAAGTTTAAAAAGGGAGTGTGGAGTGTAAAAAAACCGAGAGCTTCCCTATTGATGTTATGTAGTTTGGATTTGCATAGACTGTGGTTTATTATGTTTGACTGATCGTATGGGCTATCGCTTGAACAAACTGCATTGCTAGTGGGACCAGGGATTTCTGAAGGCCAAAAAAATCATTATTTTGATAAAGTGGGTTAATTTGTTGAACTTGATTAGGCGGACAGTTAAGACAGGCACCTGCCAGTTGGGGTTGGGTTGATGGTGCGTAACCTAGTAATCCATCTTGCCCAATGGGAAAGTGCTGAGAATAGTTATGTCTTACAGGTTTATTATTTAAAGCGTTCGATGTTGAGTAACCTAGTAAACCATCTTGCCCAATGGGAAAGTGTTGAGAATAGTTACGTCTTACAGGTATGTTATTTAAAACGTTTGAAGATAACCGTAGGGTGCGTTGGTTCATTGTGGTCTGTCCAATATTAGACCTGCTTACATAATGATTGCAGTGGCCATCTTGTGAGACATTTGAACCAAGTCTGCCCTTATAACCTCCCCTACGATGCGTAAGGTAAAGCATGGTGTCGGGAAGTACAGTCTTATTTTTATTTGGTAGGGTCATCGTAGTATTTTTGATATTGGGTCTAGAACCAGAAGGTTCTGTACTTACATTCTTCTTACGTGGCAAAGGTATTTTAATCTTGACAGCGTTTTTAAGAGTTGTAGCATTAGAACTAAGTACTTGCTTATGGGCTTCTAATGGTAAACTGGGTAATATCGGATTAGTGACGTCATTAGATGTACATTGGCTAACAGATGTCACTACAGACATAACAGGCAAATTAGCATTCTTTGTTGGTATATCAGAGTACTGGAGAACATGAGATAGGGTAGCTGCATCAGTGGATCCAACAGCTGATGCATCGTGGTTTGTTATGATCTCAACACCTTTATTTTCGTTCAAGGTACGTTTTTGCGTAAGCCTTTGATTGGTGGTCTAATCTGAGACTATACGAGCGTTTCTAAATTTCGTAAGCGCGCAGATTAGCCGCTCGGATTCTTTTAACCGTTCAGCTAATATATGAGATTCGAATCTGAACAAGACCGGGCACGAGTATTTCTGGTGCTTTTTATTAAGTCGAATGCATTGGCATGAACTGTCTTGAAGGTTAGATGCTTTTAATATCGAATTCCTTACAGTTTTAAATCGCCTAAGAACCTCTTGCGGCAACGTATTATCTTTACAGAGGATGAACGTGTCATCCATGTATCTACAGTAAAATGTGAAGTTTTGAATAATCTTTTTTAGTAGACCATTTTCTAGTTTGGCTAGAAAAATATCAGCTAGTATAGGGCCTAGTGGTGAACCCATTGCAACACCATCTGTTTGTCTATATATTTCACCGTTGAACTTGAAATTCACATTCATGGTGCATTTGAGTAATAACTCTTTCACGACATTGATAGGAACAGTAGTTTCAATTTCATTTTCAATCAGCTGTTCACCTATATATTCTACAGTCTCTATGAGTGGGACGTCTGTGAATAACGATGTTACATCCAATGACATCATCTTTGATCCCAACGTATTTACATT